AGCACGGCAACTGACAGACAGGTCATGGGTGTGGTTCCATGACCTGGAAACGAACCCAGGCTGCCAAAGCAGCGAGAGCGCCAAACTTTAACCACTAGGCCATTGGGCTGGCTCACAAGTAATTTTTTAATTATAGTAATTATACCATTCATGTTTGTAGATAATATACTTTTAAAAAGTCAATCAAAATTTTCCATATAATAATATCACACTTATTAAATGGTTTCCCAATATTCTTTCTTAAGTGTGAGAGTTGGATGTGTAATCACAATTGGTGAGTGGGAGAATTTTAATAATCCTTAGAATACTCACAGGAAAATGTCAAAAAAGTGAATTATATTACATGTGTATTATAGCAGGAAAATTATATATGTATATACATAGAGAGAGACGAATCATTCATGTAAACACTGGGAGCTAAGTTCAAAATCAGGTGAAAAATTCTAGAATGTGTTCGGAAAGGATGAATACAAGATGAAATAAATACAAGAAAAGCTAACACACGAAAATAAAGGTAGAATGTCAATATCTGTATACAAGAAGTTCTAGAAAAACAGGGGAAAAACAGTTTGCACAAATTATTTGAAGACATATGACCCATAATTTCACAGAAATCACACACACCACACACACATGCACACACAAACATGCATGAGCTCAGATTGAAAGGACCCAAAGTGTGCGAAAGAGGTTAGAAACAAATAGCTATGGACATACTGTAGTAAAATTTAATAACATCAAAGACAAAAGGAGCATTCTAAAATTTTCCAACAAGAGATGGCAGGTCATCTAACAAGGAAAAGCATCATATCAACATTCTTAAGGAGACGGTAGGGGGCAGCGCTTAATCTCCTGGAAGCTGGAGCCAGATTGCTTTGAATCCAGGGTCCATCAAACACTAGCTCTAGCTCCAGCTCTAATGTTAAACAAGATATTTAACTTCTCCACAGCTCAGGGTCCTCATTTAGATAATATAGATCATAATAATTTCAATGTCTTAAGATTGTTGGGAGTCCTAAATACATGAGAATATGCAAAACCCATAAAAATACAGCCAGACACACAATAGGCACTATATGGCTATAAACTATTATTGTTCTCAGATTTCTTGGTAGCAATATTTAATGGAGGAATATAAGGGAATAACATTTTTAAAGTGCTTAAGAAAAGATAATCAATGTTAGTATTTCATATACATTTGAATCATCATTTCAATACAGGAGTAGAAAGACAGAAAAATATAATAAACATAAGGAATAAAGGTTAATATATCAAACATGATATTAATAACATACAATTGTATATTTATTCAGAATTATTATGCATGTTCTATTCAAAATTTGAGAGACTATTAAAGACCAAGTATTAAGTTCTTTACATATATTAACTAATTTAGTATTCACACAAGCCCCACGTGGTGAGGAGAGGTTTACCAAAGGTCACTCAGGGTCGAACTGACAGGCAATCAAGAGGGACTCCCATCGTCAGCCGCCTTTGTAAGGTCTGTGAATGTGAGACAGGTCTTAAACACAAACCATCTGTTCCTTGTTCCCTCTCTGAGTCTCTCCTCCATGAAAGCTTGTTTACAGACTTTATCTCTGAGAAATGGTCCTCGAGTGTGGTTTCAGTGGAGTCAGAAACCTTTCTTTCTAAAGGAGTTTTAATTTTGGTTACCTGTCCTCTTATGTTCTCTTCCATATAAAAAGCCAATTCATGATTGGGTCCAACTATGGGTGAAACCAAATATTTCACAACAAAAGACTGGCACCAGCTGGTTGGCACTTGCAGGGAAATGTGTGCAAAACACAGAGCTTTATTGTTTTTTTTGGACAAATCATGCACACATTGCTCCCATATTTTAGTCATAGCAAGGAATGAATAAAGATAGAGAAAGCAATATTATAGTCAGAGACCTTGACTTTTCACTGGTTAAGAAATAACAATCATTGGTTAACTATCCAGAGCCTTAAGCCTACAATTATGAAAGAATATAGCTAAGGAGGAAAAAAAAAGCCTACAGATTCAAGTCTGGACACAGTCACCTAAATATAGTTCTGTAGGTCTTGGGTGAAGCCGACCTTGTCCCACAGTTGCCACCTCGACATAAAACTCTCTGGTGGAAGCTCTCTCCATCCAAACACCATCTGCTTCTAAAAAATTAAGAATCTCTAATTTTAAATATCCTAAAGGAAGGTCCATCCTGTTGTCAGTGGGTTAAACTTGCATCTTTTTAGCTGGGACACATAAATCTAGGTACTTTCTCAAGTTTAACTGCTGTACTAGTGGTAAAAAGTACCTGAGAGCTCCTTTCCAATGTGAATCCTAAGCATTTTCGTTTTTTATATGTCTTTTCCAGATGAGAAAGTCTACTTTTTAGATCATGCAGACGCCACTTGGGAGAACATGAAGTTAATGCAACTCGTACCTGTTGGTGATAAGACTGATCATATTGCATGAGTCCCTTGCAGAGTTTTGCCACACCTGCCCAAAGCAAAGGTACAGCCCAAAATTGGGTGAGAAATACGTGACCATGAAGGGAGACCTGTGACGTGTTCTTAGGGTAAGAGTCAACGAGTGCTCATTTGAGTTTAAAAATACCACTGACCTTCTCTGCTTTCCTGAGGATCGAGAGTGGCAGGGACAGTAAAATTTCTGAGTAAACAGTAAGGCTTTGCAAAGTTTTTTTAGTAACTATCCCAGCACCATGAGTGCCTCTATTACTGGAGAGAGATGTTGAAATTCCCCAGGTTGAAAACACAAAGTTAAGTAACTTTTTTGGTACTGTCGGAACAATACCTTTTCAGCAAACAAAAGTTTTGTTCCACCCTGAAAATGAGCAAATATTGACTAGAATACTCAAACTCCATAGCAAGGTGTAATTGTGTAAGCCCATTTCTAAGTGTTGAAAGGCACCCTTAGACTTGAGTTCTTCTCCGTGCCCCATCTTTACAGTTTTACCAGGATTAATCTGGTGTAGATGAGACGTGCAAACAGAGACATCCTCAGCAACCCTAAAAAATTTTCTCATCAGGGGCCAGCCCGGTGGGGCAGTGGTTAAGTTTGCATGTTCCCTTCTCAGCAGCCGGGGGTTTGCCGGTTCGGATCCCAGGTGCGGACACGGCACCGCTTGGCAAAAGCCATGATGTGGTAGGAGTCCCATGTATAAAGTAGAGGAAGATGGGCATGGATGTTGGCTCAGGGCCAGTCTTCCTCTGCAAAAAGAGGAGGATGGCAGTAGTTAGCTCAGGGCTAATCTTCCTCAAAAAAAAGAAATTTTTTTTTCATCAACACTGATAAAGAAAGTGATCAATTTGTCCTCCTTGGGGTGGGTAACTTTGTGTAAAATGTTTGCAAAGTTCCAGCTGAAGGCTTCTGATGACACGAAACAGCCATTCTGAAGGTATCAGCGATTATCCTCATGCAACCGTTTTCAAGAACTCTTTTCATACTCCAGACCAGGTGTCGTGTCACAGAGAATGTTCCTCAGTAAGAGTCTCCGGGAGTTTAAGGGCAAATGGGAAACTGAGTGCTTGGTACGCGATTGGAGCAGCTTCATTGATTTCCCACTTCCTTTTTTCCCCTTCAGTTTTGCTCTTTGAGGGTTTGGAAGTCTGGTAACAGGACTATTTTCCATTCCAGTTTTTGTTTGTATATTAAATCCCCTATTTCTGACTTAAGGCCATTCAGAGAAAATGAGGAAAGAGCTGTGGTTGTATTTGCTGCAAGATCTACACCTAAATGTTTTCTAAACCTCTTAGAGTCTGTTCCTAAGGCCTCCAATGACTTCTTTTGGTTGTTTTGGGGCATGGTTCCCAAAAATACTGTCTTATATTTATAGTTTATCTAAATTCCTGTGGTTTTATTATGAGATTGGAGGTCTCAAGTCATACTCAAGGTATTCGCAAGGTATTACAAGGTATTCATGCCTCTTTCATTCAATTTTATTCCACATGAGGTTCCTAATAACATATAAATCAATAAATGTAGAACTGAGAACCCTGAACTTCACGTTTCTGGAACAATTGCAAATGGCTCTCTAAATTTCTGCCCGCCTCGCATAGGTTTTGGAAAGTCTTTCAAAGTCACTCTCAGCTCAGACTGCGACCAGGGCTTCAATTCTACCATAAGGGGCTTGTTGTGATCCGGTTAACTTTCAAAGCCAGCTCAGCTTTCAGAGTTTCTGGCTGGCCAGAACGAAAGGGAAGCTGGTCAGAAAGAGCGCTGGGAAGGAGATAACAGAGGGCCCCGCACGGAAGAAGAGGAATAGTAAGACAAAAGCTTTTAGGTTCGAGTTGTGATTTGGGCAGACCTAAAACAGAGATAGTCTTTCACAGTTTTCATTTGTCTCCTCCACAGAAGACTCAGAGAGGCAATTGTGGAACCTGAATTTCTCTTGCGAGCTTTCTCGTATCAGTATCAATCAAAAAACACAGATCATCGAATGCTTGGAATTTTATTCTGTTGTCGCTCTAAGACACTTCTCAATTTTGTTCTTATGAAAAGTTTCCCAAACTGGCCACTGAAATTCTAAACTATTGTGGGTAAAATTCTGCCATTTAGAAAGAGACTCACGTATATTACTTACAGTGTAAACACATGCAAGAGGCAGGAATCTGGCCTGCAGGAGACATGAACTTGGGTTTCACAGGAGACAAGCACATGACAGCCTGGCGAGGGCCAGCCAAATAGGTGGCAAGTTCCCCTTATGTCTTGGCTCCCCAGCCTAATGGCTAGGCAGTCTCCAACAGTAAACCTGACAAATGTGAAGTTCTTGGAAAATGTTGGGTTTGGACATGAAGTTCCTGCTATCAACTACCAACAGAAAATAATGAAAAGAGGAGTGACAAAAAGCAACCTTGCTTTCCACCAGGGATCTGTATTTTCAAATCTGATCAAATAATCAAAGGATTCCTGAAAGAGAATCTTAGGGGACAAAATACACTTAGCGTTTGGTAGTTTGACGGAAAGAAATTAGAACTGAGATCTAAGGTGAGACTTACCCCATCACTGTAGGCCCCAGTGGCTCCCTTATTCCTGAATTGAGGGTCTTGGGCTTCACGCAGCAAGAGAGGTATCAATGGGCTCTTGGTGGGACTACCAGGCTGTTGAACTCCCCAAACTATCACCAAAAACCTTTTAATAAACAAAAGTTACATTTAGTAGAACCTACTGCAGGAAGGGAGAACATCATTTTGACAGAGTCTTAGCAGTGTCTCAGAAGAGGTAAGTAGAAATGGAATAACTGTAGGACTTTGGGGTCTGGATTCACGTAGGTTAAGGTGGGTCTTTCAAAGTGAGGAACTGAGTAGGACTGGGCAAAGTTCATGATGTACTAGTTTAGGATTGGTTGACACAAGTAAGTAAGGGTCTTATTAGGTAAACTGTTATTGATAAGCAAGCTGTTTGCCAGAGTGAGATCACTGTCTTTCATATATTGATCTGAGGGCACTCCCGGAAGCAAACAGTGGATTCAATTACTAGTTTGCAATCTTATCTTTCCCAGGTTAACAACTAAACAACATGGACATAAGTAGTCTATCATTTTATCTAAGTCATATTCACAGATGGCCTTAATTCTCCAAGACTACGATTTTAATACGAGAAAAAAAAATTTCAACTAAAAATAGAAGTTACAAAAATGGGCATTATATACTAATCAAAGGAAAATTAGATTAAAAAAATAATCATCATAAACATTTCAGACTAGCAATATAGCATCAAATCATATAAAGTCCCCATGCACTTACTGCTGTATTCCAAATAAAACAAATAAGACAGTCACCATGATACATTTTTCATACATTTTGATTTTGTTGATTTTGTACTCTTGACACTCTCCTAAGCCTCATGAGTGTTGGAAATGCCTGAGATTCTCAGTGTGGTTGCCTGTTACGATCCTGAAGTCCACGTCTTACCCCAGACCAATTAAACCAGAATCTTTGAGGGTGCACTCAAGCATGCGTGTTTTTGAAATCTCCTTTTAGTATTCCAAGTGCAATCAAAGTTGAGAATCACAGTAATAGCAAATGGTTAAAAGGAAGGCCCAGTTTCTACTTAATTCCTACTCCAGTCTTATCCTTAGCTCGTCCCTTTTCACAGCTTTATTAGTATCTGAAGACAAATATGGATGGCAGATTGATCAAATATGCATATAGCAGGAAGACAGCAAGAAGAATACTACACTGACGGCGTCAGCGTTTTAAATCATCTCAACAAAGCTGTGATGACGGACTGACTCTGAAAGGATAGAATTTAAGGAAGATAAACAGCCAAGCTCCAATCTTGGGCACAGGAAGCCAATTTCACAAATGCAGGGTAACGTGGACGTGACCAAACAGCAGTACACATGAAACATTCTTGAGGAACTTCGTTGATTTTAAGTGTAGTGTGAGTCAACACTGTGATTTGGCTGCCAGAAAATAAACCCGATCCGAGGCTGTATCAACAAAAGCCTGATGTCTGGACAAGGAAGACCCTTTCTGCATGCTTGCTGGAACACTCTAACTCCTGAGTTATGTTCTGAGCAGTATCGTATAGGAAGAACAGGGAAAAATTAGATTATGGTTGACGAGGGAACTTGGAGTGGTCATTTTTAAAAAGTTAGGGGGATATTTAGCTGGGAGGAAAGCTGGCATAGGGAGAACATGACAGATATTTTCAAAATATTTGAAGAACTCACATGTGGAAGTTAGATCGGATTTATTGTGTAAAGTCCAGAAGTTAAAACCAATGAACAGTTGGAAGGAAATACTTTTCAGTAATGTTGACCATCAAACAGCGAATGGAGAGCACACAGAGCAGAGGGTTCCTTGTCCCCGGAGGTATTTAAGCCTTCAAAGAAATGATGGTGAGGGGAGCTTCAGAACTTGTAGAGAGTTGAACTAGATAAGAAAGACAAGATTTTATGATCAGTGTATTTAAATGTAGCTGGGGAATAAAAGTGAGACTTTTCACATTTTGCACACTGTTGAAATCGCTCAGCTTGGTCGTCTGCAACCTGTCCTCTCTACTCCAAGGAAGGAGACAGCCAGTGCAATCAGCACCGCAATGCAGCCCCTGGGTGATTTTCCAATGGGGAAATGCAGTCACTTTTCTGCAGATGTCAATTCCTACAAATATGTTAAACACATGTCTCTCTTTATCACCCCCTTTCTCATTTAAACCCAGCTTCTTGCAGAAACTGACACTGTGTGTCTTTACGCTCCATGAAGATCCTGCCCCTCTCCCCCATCTGCCAGAAGTTTGGGATTCCACAGGGATCATTAGCATCCATCCCAACAGCCTGCACCGCGTTGTGAGGACTCCTGCGTTCTTGCTTCACCAGGCACCCTTAAGTCACCCAGATTTAGGGACCCAGGGGGCCACTGCTGGTTCCAAGGTCCCAGCGGGGTCTCCGCCATTGTGATGACTTTCTCAGACCTTTTAGAACTCCGGGGTTATTATTCCCCAACCTGGAGCAGGGCGCTAAGGGCCAGGCGTGCCGGGTGTAGGACAGAAGCCCAGGAGCTGCCGAGGACCAGGGCTCGCCCCCCTCCTCCCCAGTTCACCTACTTTCGCTCGCTCCCACTGCCCAGCGTGGTACCGTCAAGGCTGGACCCGCGGACTGCCAGCCCCTGGATGAACTTGCATCTCGGGCCGCCGGCTCCGGGGAGGGAGGGAGGGGGGCAGAGAGGGCGAGGGGGAGGGGGGAGGTGGGGCGCCGGGGAGGAGGCGAGGGCCGTGGGGAGCTCGCGGAAGAGCGCTTCCGAGGGAAAGCGCGAGGGGAGGGCAGCCGGGCTCGGCACGCTCCCTCCCTCGGCCGCTTTCTCTCACATAAGCGCAGGCAGAGGGCGCATCGGCCATGCCCTGCCCCTGCGCCCGCCGCCGCCGCCGCCGCCGCCCGCCCCGCGCGCTCTGCAGCCTCGCGCGCCGCGGAGCCCCGGCCTCGCCGCCGCCCGGCCCGCCGCCCTCCTCCCGCCCGTGGCCCCGCCGCCGCCACCGCCGCCCGGGCCGCCCGGCTCGCTTCCCTCCGGGGAAGGGGAGGGAGGAGGGCCCCGCGGGCTCGGGGGGGGGGGTCGCCCGGCGCGGGGTGTTGCGGCTTGGCCCCCCTCTTTGCAAAAAGCATCAGCAGAACCGCGCACGGCGGCGCCGGCCGCCCTCGTCTCCCCTCGCGGGCTCCGCATGTGGGGAGCTCGGATGTCCGGTTTCCTGTGAGCCTTTTACCTGACCCCGTCGCCTCTCCCTGGCACTGGCCGGGACAGCGCCGCGCCGAGTCGGGAGCGCCGAGCCCCGGCCCCGCTCCCGCCGCCGCCGGCTCGGCCCCGGGGGCTCGGCGAGGCTCGGTGGGGAGAGGGCCGCGCAGGGAGCGCAGGGAGCGCAGCGGCGCCGGGGCGCCCACCCCCCGCCCCCGGCCCGTCCACCATGCACTTGCTGGGCTTCTGCTCCCTGGCGTGTTCCCTGCTCGCCGCTGCGCTGCTGCCTGGTGCGCGCGAGGCGCCCGCCGCCGCCGCCGCCTTCGAGTCGGGACTCGGCTTCTCGGACGCGGAGCCGGACGCGGGCGAGGCCAAGGTAGGTGCGCGATCGCGCGCCCCGGGCCGGCCGGGGTCCGTGGGGGGCACTGCGGGGGCTCGGGTGGCTGAGGACCCAGAGCCCGCGCGGAGCCCATGTGCGTGCGTGTTTCCCCTCGTGCGCGCTGGATCCAAAGTTACCGAGCGGAATGTATGCTTCCTGGGAGAAAAGTTTTCTTCCCCTTTTTCAATTAGAAAGTTATTGCTAGGTAAGAAAGCAAGTTACAGGAGTGAGGGGCTCAGGGAGGTGGCCGGCGATAGCGATCACAGCACGTACTGGAGAGCAGTCCCCACGGGTGCGCCGAGGGGGTCTTGAACCCGTGCGGATAGCGCGGCTCCGGAGACTCAGGGTTTATCCCTCCCGGGGTGCTCTTTTCTTCCCCTGGCAGCTTAGCGGGATTCCGAACAGCTTCTGGGGCTTGGACGACCGGTCCACCGAGGCTTACTTTCCTGGAGTGTCCCTACTATGCGGAGCACCAGGCGCTGTGCGCGATTTTAGAAAAAGCGTAAAGGAATTTAGTTCCCGGACTTGAGGGCTTAAGACTTCAGATTGTCTTGGAGAAGCTAGTCAAACTTGAGATGCAGCAGGCTCTCATGGAGACCACTATCAGGCGTGACTTTTCAACTCCATAAACTGTGCGTTTCTGAAATCTGGTCGTAAAGTACTGAAAAGAAAGGTGGATTGTTTTGTTTTGTTTTTTACATAAGAGATGTTTCACTCTGCCTAAAGATGTTGCCAAGATACTTTTGAGACATTCTGCTTTTCAAAAAGGAGTTATGTTTGTGCCTGCTTCTCACTTGCTCTTCTAAAAGAGTGTCTATTTACCCAAAAAGTTCAGATCTGACAAAAGGATGGATAGTATGCTTAATATTAGAGTTCTTGAACTCCTGTAGAAGCTTTATATTCGACATGCTGTGGGAAGTCTCAGTTCCGACGCTTGCAGTGCTCCTGGCTGGAACTAGCGTGCAGTACTTGATTCCAACTGAAGGCGAGAGAAGTGTCACTGGTGTGTAACTGTCAACTCTGAGTTGACTTTATTGATTAACATATACTGAATATGTAGAAATTAAATTGCCCTCCCAGTTATATTTCGAAATACGTTTTAAGATTGAGAAGACTAATTTTTAAAAACAAAACTACCTTTGTATATAAATTTTGGGAAAAAATTTTAAAACATCAGGCTTTTGTAATTCATTGTAGGGATTAAGGGAAAAAAACCTATGAGTAAAAGCAATATACGGTATATATACGTTAAATTGCAGAACAGTGCATTATGTGAATTGTAAAGTAATTTTCAGCACAGATGCTTACATGGGTATAACTACTGTCGTGAGAATGTCTTCCTGTCCTTAGATGCCATAAAAATGTAGTAACAGACCAACTAAGACTTCCTGTCATTTAATGCCTTCAATGTCACGATTATCTGTTCACTTCTATTTCTGTAAAGTCAAACTATTAAAAGTATCACTTAGTAAGGCAACACCTCTCCGTTGCCTATGATAAGTTACTTTGGTTTACAGCAAGAAATTGTGAAGCAGGAAGTAAAAGGAGAAGCTTTTCCTGATAAGTCAACAGCCCACTCGTATGCGAGTCACTCGCGGCTGGGTGAATCCTGAATGAATGCGCCTGTGTGTGCGCATGCGCATGTGTGTGCGTGCGCGTTGTCTGCAGTTGGAGGAGAAAAGTTAATTTATTTTTAATTTTCAAAATTGCCTTCATTGGAGATGTAATCACATTTTCCCTTTGCTGTGAGAATCTTTATGCGTTTCTGTTTGCTTTTCATATTTGAACATCTTTTCTGTGTGGTGAATGTGGGTTGATATTCTGTTTGCAGTATGGACTCTTTTTCACGTGATGAAATATCTTTTTTAGATATTTAAGTCTCTGAATTCCAGAGACCACAAGGCAGTGTATTATTTCTGCAATAAATCTTCCCCAGGGCTTGAGTAAAGGCTTGACGGGACATGTGTCATCAGTGCTTTCAGTGAAACTGTGATGTCCTTGCCATGAAACTGCCAAGAGACATGGTCCAGAGACTCCATGTCTCTCCCTAGTGGCCCAAACAGGCACCTCATTTAGATGTAAGCCCCAGAGAGGAAATGATTGTTAACTTTTTGTGAACTCCATAAACCCCAAGAGAGATTTCATAAGGTAAATAGAAGACTCGAAATGTATGTAATCCCCATTAAATGCAAATTTTTGGAAATTTACACTCAAGAAGTATTTTTTTTTAAAGATTTTTTTTATTTTTTCCTTTTTCTCCCCAAAGCCCCCCGGTACATAGTTGTATATTCTTCGTTGTTGGTCCTTCTAGTTGTGGCATGTGGGATGCTGCCTCAGCGTGGTCTGATGAGTAGTGCCATTTCCGCGCCCAGGATTCGAACCAACGAAACACTGGGTCGCCTGCAGCGGAGCGCGCGAACTTAACCACTCAGCCAGGGGCCAGCCCCAAGAAGTATTTTTTTAATATTCAAAAAATACAAAACAGATCACAAGCTATGAACCAAAATTAGCCATCCAGTCCTTCACCTCACCCTTAAAGCCATACAAACAATTGAATGTAAAATCACAAAGAGAAGCAAGATCTCCTTGTTCCTCAACTTATATTTACATTTTTTTAGTTCCTTTTTCTATTGATTTGTGGTTGTTGACTTGCTAAAACAATGTTAAGTGTTTCTCTCAATGATGTTAGTGTAAGCAAGTCAACAGCGGAAAAGTAAAGCTAAGTATTACCTATTATCTACTTAAAATTAACCAGGCGTGATGGGGAAAGAGAGGAAGTATTTAAAATTATCATCAAACTAATGAAAACTGCAAAACCCAGAAAAAGCACTAGATTGCTAACTACAATCATTTACCACCATGAGATTAGGTAGAGTTCACTCTGGTTGGTTGGAGTTGAGAAGTTTGATTTTAAGAGAAAAGTTAGTCTATGATGAAAAGAAAGGGAGAATTACTTCATATCATGATATATACTTATGAAGCTTTTATTACAAAAAGTGGCTTGGACTGGGCATATAAATACCTGGAATCATATATTTTTAGAGTTATAAATGCAAGGAGAGCATATCTTACATTGCAAATGCCTTTGGTAAAGATTGAACTGAACAAAAGAAAGCTTAGAGATTTATAGTCTTGTGTCAATTAAGTGAATAATCTAGAAGATCAAATACTATTGAATAAACAAATATAACATCTTATTTGCTGTTTTGCATAAATAACTTTATCCCTACATTTATCATTTGAAAGCAAAAGAAATAGATTAGCTTAATATTAACACTAATTGCTTTAATGAGAATAGCTATTTTTAATTAACATAGTAAAAGCACATATGGTTTTTGGTGACCATCACAAAAAACTTCTAATAATGAAAACTAGTTTGCAATATGTCAAATTTTCTTTCTCCATCGTTTATAATTCTGCATATTTTTGTACTTATTTTACATTTACTTACTGTTTAAAATTAATCAGTGGTGGTGTTTTTCAAATACTATCTGTGTGCTAACTGCATCAGAATTCCCTAGAGGTCTTTAATTTTTTTTTCTTACCTGAGACCAACAAAATCTCTGGGCTTGGGTCTAAGAATATATATTTTTAATTAGCATTCTGTCATTCTCATGCATGGTGACAATTTTAGACCCACTGACCTATGGTGTATAACAGTGACTAATTTCATTGGTTTTATCATCTTCATTGTTTAATTGATGAGTTTGCAAGGTAATCTGTTAGGGATGGGCCATCTTAAAAGATATAAGCCATTTTTTGGTCTCTTTGAGGAACTTCCAACTCAAGTAGAAAAAATAAAGGCTTATGCACAAAAATACTGTGAGATCTCTGGGGAGAAGTACCAGAGCATCATGTGTGTCCTGAAGTTTGGGCAAGAGAGTCATCCATGTGGCCTGGTTGGGTAGGTGCCTTGACATAAGGCAGAACTTGAGTTGTACCTTGGATGAGAATTTCCAGCAGATGACTACATCAAGCATGGGAATCCCCTTCATGTCTTAGATGGAGTAAGAAGGTGAGAAGGCAAGTAGAACTGTTTGGCTGAAGCTGGTGGGTTATACAGGGTAACAGTGAAGACTCAAGTAAGCATAAGTTTGAGAGATGGATGCGGTCACATTGTATATGACCCGAGCCTGTTTAAGGAATTTGAACATCATGCTGTGGGTCCTGAAGGGTGGTTCATGATCTGAGCTCCTGAAAGACAGGTAGTAAGAAGAATGTTGAAATCATTTATGGGATTGACTAGAGGTCTGAAGGACTTTTGCTAGGGGCATTGTCTAGTTCAGAAGCAACCGTAATCACCTAGCAGGGAAGTAATGAATAGTCAGAGCAGAAGTGGGGGCAGTGGGAACAGAAGAAAGAGTGTTACAGAGGAAGAACCCATAGATCTGGTGACTGTTGAACATGAAAGATAAGCGAGTGGGAGAAATTAACCTTGCATCAATGTTGTAATCATAGGAAAATGTTGGTCCTACTTGTAGGATTAGAGCATTTCAGAGAAGAGAAGAGACTGGCTTTCATGGTTGGATGACGGATGATGAAGGCATTGTTCCATAAACCACTTAAGATTTTACTAGACTTAGGAATCTTTGGAGAAACGAAATAAGCTTTACAATCTTATGTCCCATTAAAGGGGAGTAATTGTCTAGGATCAACAGGACTTAAACTGTGTAAGATACTTACAGTATTTGAGCATTTGACAAGTGTTATTACAATCCCTAAAGGAAAGTTAACAGTATGCGTATCCTATTACCGTGCATTAAAAAATGAAGAAGTAAATTTTATTCAAATGAAATAGGCCATAAATGTGGCTGTAACATTTAGTCATTTACTTGCAGTCTGCTCTTACAGTACCCATTGCCGTTTCTCTGATCTACTTCTAATTCCCATACTGTTTGGCAGTGCCAACCATCAGTCGTTAGAAAGGAGGTTCAATGTTAGGGAAGTGTGAAATGTTTGTGAACGTGGAAACTTTGGACTCTCTTCCTCTCTTTGTCTCACTCTGCATTAATATGTGTTAAAGGCTCAGAGCTTGACTCCCTAAAACACCCTTTCTGAGGATGGCAAAAGATTGCTTAACTGAAGGATTGGATTCTTGTCCCCCTTTTTGGGTATCTGATTCTTTAACAGCAAATCTACGGTTGTCATGTTTCCGGTTTGCCTTAGAGCATATGATTCAGTGTTTTGTCAACCGCCTGTCTTCTAATAGATTTCTGACACAACTCTGAATGATGCTGGGGATATATGGCTTTGGACGTGAAAAGCTCAATTCATCTTTCATTTTGGTTTCTACTTCTTTGTCTTCTTTCTTCTGAATTGTGAACAGCTGATTGGCAACCATTTATTCACAAGATGGTTATC